GTCTAGATGGGAGCTCCTCAGCTGCTATGTTGATGATGATGATGATGATGATGATGATGATGATGATGATGATGATGATGATGATGATGATGATGATGATGGTTTTGGGGCTGGGAGCAGGAAGTGCACGTCACTGACACGGGAATGGGACGAAAGGAAGACAACACCACCATGATGAAGAGAATGTCAAACCCGCTTCGTGTAGGAAGCAGAACTAATTGAATTCCAAGCTTCAACTCAGAGAAAAAAAAAAAAAAAAAAAAAAGGATGAACTGTGTCCGAGCTGGAACTGAGGCATCAGGAAGGTACGTTTAGTTCATAAATTATTATAAAACGGCTTTTCTGCATATAATAAGAGACTGAGGGACTGTCTGCGTGTGCTGGCTAATATGTGCACCTTTTCCATGCTGTAGCTATCAGATGTTGTGAAGTGTTCAGTGCCAGACAGGTGCTAGCCTTCTTGCTAACTAGCCGCGGAGGCTAACTGGTTGGTGTGAATTGAGTGGTATTTCACCAGCTTTTGCAAATGCCTTTTATACATTTTGTGGATAAATCAGATGGAACGGGGCCGTCTGTGGCWTCTAGAAACTACAGCTAACATGTAAACAGCCCTTTTATCTTGCTATGACCAATTTTTCTTGATGTGTTGTTAGCTATTACATGCAGTACGGTAACGCACGCACGGCTAAGCGAGAGCGGCTGCTACAGAAAACTAACCATACTCCTTGCATTTTTTGACTTATTTTTCTATAAACGAGGGATTTTTCGTGTTGCATTCACATGTGTTTCATATTTTACAGTCAATGTCATGTTTGTCACAGTTTTAGGAGTTCGGCTTATCAAAGACAGAAAAAACAGTTTTATTTGGTGACACGGCTTCCTGTTCTCTGCTATTATTATTTACATGTTTTTTTTAACTTGAGCATGTAGCTCATCAACATGAATTACAATTAAAGCGCCGTGTTAATTGAATGGTGTTCAGAACCAGCTTTACAAGACAGGCAGACCAAACAACTGTGCGTGCTGGTCACGTGACCGTGTGGTCTTCTGGTCTGGATTTATCATCACTATTACAAATATTTCTATGATGTTACCAATGATTAAATATTACAAGCAGTTTTTGCCTCTGWTTTATGTAATGTGGGATGAGATCTATGTACACAGTGTAAAATAGAATATATTTGACTACTTTTGAGTTTCCATCAGACAAACCTGACCTGTTTAAAAGAAGGTTGGCCAGTATCAGCAGAGACAAGTTTCAGTCTAAAGTATCACCAGGTATGCAATGAACCTGTTCTAAATGTCACCTACATAACAGGTATAAAAAAGGTAAAATATACTTTATAGGAGTTATTTTCATCTAGCCTAAAAGTCAAAGTTATTGACTTACTTTAGATCTAGTTTAAATCATTGTTACTGATATATTTTCCTTATATCATCAGCTGTTTCATATGGTTGTTGAATGAAATGAACGTAATTAACAATTATATTAATTTATTGTGAAAATATTACAGATAATTTGTGACAGATCCAGTTGGACTTGCTGATAATCAAATAGTTGTTATGAAGGCTGTGAGCTGTTGTCCTGTTTGGTCGCCATTTTTACTCCCCCACGTCACAGATGCTGAGTGGACGGGATAGGTGGGGCTCAGGCTAGTGATGTGAAATAGTTTACTGAAATCTATGGGAGATTTGGTGTGCGTGCTCTGTGTTCTGGGGATGTTTGAGAGAAAAGCAGATCCTAAAGCAGTGAAAAAAATGGCTACATATAATTTGTATATGTAAAAAACTTGTTTACAAAGCCTTTACGTATCATTTTTAAAAATTAATGCATCAATTGTCAGTTGGAGATTTTGTGTCAAAATTAGACTGAGGTTGTGTAGGGCTGTGTATTGGCAAGAATTTGGCGATACGATACATATCATGACAGAGGGGTCACGATACGATATATCCCGATATATTTCGATACTGTAAACAAGGCGATATATTGCGATATTTTTGGTCCAAAAATTCTATTAAATAAAAACCTCTTACTGGGAAAAAAAAGGATAAAATTCATTGTCTCAGAAAATTCTAATATTACATAGACATACTTTTGATACATTTAGCTGTGTTCTGCTTTGTATGTGTTTTATTTTATTTGTTTCTTATTTCATCCACGTTTTCAATTATTAGACTAAATTTGCCAATAAATAGTTTGAAAATATGTATTTTTGCAGCTTTTAGTTTTTAATATTAATTTACAATATGGTCACCCAACACTTAACAATAGCAATAGCCTCTACCTCAAGAGGTAGAGTAGCCAACTGGTTGGCTCACTGCTGCCAACTAGCGGTCAGGGGGCTGAACTACAACATAAAAATGAACGGCTGGCAGGAAAGTTTACATTTTAAACCTTAATAAAAAATCGATACAGGGCTTTAGAATATCGATACATTATCGGGAAATAAAATATCACGATATTTCAGTGTATCGATATTTTCTTACACCCCTAAGGTTGTGTAAAACCATTAAAAAGTTCAAAATGTTAATTTAGTCATAAAGTCCAAAGTAAATCTGTTTTGGACTTATTTCAGACAGACTTATATGAAGTCTGTCTGAGCTGTCGAGTTATACTTTATCAATATTGTATAATTTAARAAAATCCCTTTATTAAATAAATGTTTGCAACTAGGGTTGGCCAAAATTGTATTGTGTGCAATTGATTTTTAGAAAAAAATCAATAATATTTTCTACTTTGCAGTTACTAAAATTAGTTTCACGTGAAATGCCACAATTAATCATGATCATTTTCTTTTTGCCAACATCACCCAACCCTAGCTGCAATGAAAATAATACACAACAGCCTGAGCTGTTGCTAACAAAACTATTATGTCGTTTTGCCCAAAACGTGACACCGAAGTCCAGCAATCCTGACTAAACGAACCTCCTGTCTGAGGTAAAGAGGAAGAAAAAAAAAACATCAGTAAGCCAACTAACCACAGATTGTCTGAGATGATGGGTCTTCTGTCTGAGCTGTATCAGATCAGTGTGTTCAGCAAATCTAATTCAGTTTTGGAGAGCTCGGCCTGAGGCGAGCTCATGTGATGTTTTCACCTCAGATAGAAAGAAAAGTAGCCAAGCTATGCTCATAGAAACTGTAGCTGTCAATCACCAGAAAATAGCTGACCTGAGATATTTTAGTCAAAATTGACTTCTGTCTTTTGTTCACTTTATATTCCCTTTATKTTGCATAAAATGTTCCACAATTTTATTCAAAGGTTTGACCAAAATGTAGGGTTGTGCAATTTTGGCTTTTTGATGATTACACTTTTATGATGATGATGTTGTTGTTSTGGCCTTGGTCCACTTTATCTGGCTTTCTTGGTTTATGCTTGTAGAGTTGTGCTGCGTTCCAGTTGTAGCTGGACTTGAAATTCTGAAGCCGGACTGACGTCAGCTCCAAGTTTGTTTCAAACTTGTCAGAATGTCGAAAAAAGTGTTTCTATTATTTTGCTCTGCAACAATAAAATTTACAACAACAGTGCTGTACGAGGCATTTTGAGTGTAACAAAGAACTACAAGTACGTCTGACTCAATGTAAAGTAAACACAGAACTGCTAAAAAACGTAAAAGTAAAGAGTTTAGTTGTCTTGATGCGAGGAGCAGCCATGTTGAAATGATGTAAGGCATGCTTGGGTGGTGTTGCGCAGACCTCGCGACTGGAAATTGCGACATCAGTGGGTGGTCCAGTTGAAAATTACAACTCGAAAGTGTGAAACTACGACCTCTGAGGACAACTGGAACAGAGCATTAGGGTTAGCGCAGGGGTGGGCAGTCCTGCATGCTTTACTTCTGCAAGTTCTGTAGAAGCCTGCTAATCACCTGTTCATTCAAATCAGGTGTGCTGGAGCAGAGAAACAAGTAAAACATGCAGGGCTACGACTCTCGAGGACCAGGATTACCCACCCCTGGGTTAGCGTTAGCTGCCCCACCCTTCCTTCCACCATTGGGCTCACATGCATGCCTGATAGTGATTGTATGTTGTCCACAATAATACATCATCACATGCACTAACTGCTAGGGCTGTGTATTGGCAAGAATTTGGCAATATGATACATATCATGACAAAGGGGTCATGATACGATATATCCCGATATACTGCGATAC